GAATTATCTCTGCTTAGAACTGGAGGAAAGAATCAGTATGCCAAAAGTAAGACCTCGATTCCTGTATGCAAAGATTGCAAGTGTTGAGGAGAGGTAGAAGAAAAAAAAATGAAACCAGTTAAAAAACAAAATGGTACCCACTGCACAGAGAAGTTGTCATGGTGATAGCAGGACTGTACCAAGAGTGGGAAAACGGTGATTTAGATGTTCATCAAGTAGACAAGACTAGCTTTGTTTTCTTTTTTAAAGTTCGTAAATAATTATTTGAAGAAAGAGAAGATGCATAAACTTTAGAATTACACTGAAGCCTACTGTGCTAGGGTTGACAGTAGGAGGCAGAGTACTGCACCCATGGAATTGTGCTCAGTAGAGCGATGAACCCAGTAGTCAGTACTGTGCTCAGGTGAGTACTGTGGAAGCTGAGTACATCATGACAAACCCCAAAGAGGCCTTGGTACTAGAGCCATGTAACAAAGCTGGAAAGACTTTGAGGAGGATATTCAGAGCTGGGAGAACCTACAAGAGTATTTCATGAAATCCTAACAATGTTTGAGAAGGCCATGAGCATGTTAAGGACAAATGAAGGAAATTCCCTTCGAAACTGGAGACAGACAATCTGCTGCATGCTGGTTGAAGTTCAGGAACAAACTGTCTCTGCAATAATGGGGGACTTCTGGACTCCAAGATCTGGCTGCGATTTCCAGGGAGCACAGACAGTACTCCCGATTTCTTCTTGCCTCTTACAATAAACAACACAAGAGAGAAAATTTCAGAAATTCTAACTGCAGATATCAAATGATGCTAACACCTAGGAAGAGGGACCTCCTTGATATTTAAAATACTGACACAGACGACTTCAGGGCAAGACAGCAGACTAGAAGCCTCATCACTGAAACTCAGTGAACGAGAAAGACGGTAAGGTCAATCTTAGGGTTTTATGCAAGAGACAGGGTCTGTGAACCAATTTATTAAGCCTGAGTGGGTCTCTCTGCCCGGAAGCGAGTGGTAATGATGAGACTGGAGCCCAGGCGGGTGCCCTCTCCACATCTGCCCGCTCTGGCATGCAGAATAAAGCTGCCCAGGAAACAGAGGAAGAAACTACAGGCGGAGTGTTGCTTTTCATCAACACCAGATCTGCAGGACTAGGAACACTGAACTGCCAGAAAAGGAACTGGAACCTCCCTCACTGCAAACACTGGAGCCCTGAGAACACCAAGCGGCAGAGAACAGTGGTTCCCACTGCACCCTGAAGAAGCTACTAGAAGCGGAACGATCAAAGAACTTCCACTTCTGATTCAGTGCAGCTGTGCCAGCAATTCCTTCTATAAGTGCTCTATATTTCTAACTTTTTCTACTGTTTGATTCTATTCTTGCATATATGTCTTGTGATTTTGCTTCTTTTTGGACATTGCTCATGTAGGCTTTAGGACTGTTGTTTGCATCTCTGCCTGCTTTACCATAAGGTGTTTTTACTACACTTCAGACACACATCTTCTCCCCTTTTATCCCGATTTCCATTTTTCTCTTGCTCATCTCTATCTGCCCCCTCCTTTTACATCTTAATTACAACCTTCCATGGCTTTAACATTTTCTAAAATCTGTAGATCCTAACAGTATGTCACCCTTCCCCTCCTAGCTACATTATCTGCCATGGAAGTACTTTTCTTTTTTAAAAGCCAATCAAATAACTAATCTTTATCAGTCCTAATGATATTAACTAAGACCAAGATATACCCCAAACACCCTTGGTTGTTTACACTGCAATGGTTACTGAAGTCAAATGGTCCATTGTTGTCAATTGGCTAAATTACATGGTGGTATCATCAAGCAGATGTGGATGACCTCCCAATTAATATCCTACTCAGGGAATACAGCTTACACCAGGCACCCTGGTCTCCTAATCTGAGCAACAGTTTTGTAAACGATAATAAATGCTACCACATCCAAGTCCCAGTTGAACATTGCAAATACTTCAATAGAAAGAATATGGATGATTTTAAAAATGAACCAAGCAAAGAAATAATAGCAGATGTGTAAATACCAATGCAGTAATATAAGTAACATGTACAAGCAAAGAGGTTTACCAAAAATCAAAATAAAGAGGGGCCTATCTGAAAGGACTTGCAAGTACAGTCTTTATCTAATGGAGTCAGTCTCAAGATTCTTAGGAAATTATAGACTTTTAGGAAATTCTTATCATCGGAAGTATCATCAGCTTAGACTGAAGTAGTGGGATAGAACTCAAGAACAACATGGCCTCTGCATTGTCAAAGTTCTGCAGAACAGAACTAGGCTGAGAGACATGCATGATTGCATACACATACTCACCTTCCTAGAAGCAGGTGAGAATGACTTGGAGAATGAAGCCAAAGCCAGGAAGGTGGAGTCAAGTTCTATGGACTCAGGCCTGGGACTGGAGTAAACTGGAATCCAAAACAAGAGCCTCCCAATATATATGCTCAACTGCACAGCTGCTCTGATTCCTCTCCTCCTCTTACTGTCTTAACCTGTCCATCACTGTCTATCAGGGGTCTGTGGAGGGGAAGAATAGCTCCCCTCTTTAGTTTTCTTGTCTTTGAACTCAGAGGAACTGTACTCTGGGAATTAAATCTAAAGAACTCCCCTCAAGAAGATGTATCATCAGTGAGACTAGATGGCAGATGATATTCTTGACTTTGAGCTGATACCATGAGGAACTTGACTTTGAGAAGGCTCTGAAGTGAGAGAATGTATTGAGTGGTAGAATCAAGTCTCATTGGAGATCTAAAGGGTGGACTGCTATGGGATGCTTCTGCATAATGTGAACATATATTGTTCCCATTGGTTAATAATAAAAATTGTTTGACCAGTAGCCAGGCAGGATAGGGTTAGGTGGAACAATCAAACTGAGGACTTGAATAAGAAAGGGCAGAACAAAAGAAAAATAATATACCAGCAGACCAGTAAAAGCCACAGCCATGTGGCAATACATAGACGAATAAAAATGGGTTGATTTAAATGTAAGAGCTAATTAATAATAAGCCTGAACTATAGGTCAGTCTGTAGTTAGTATTAAGCCTCTGAGTGGTTATTTAGAAACAACTGCAGGACAGGGAAGGACAGATAAACCACCATTTACAGTGGACAGTGATGACCAGCCTCACAATGCTTCCTATGATTTTCATTTCTTATTGTGTCTCCTTCCACACGAAAAGCATTGTGGGAATTCTGGAGTGTTGCTGCTAGGATACTTTTATAACTCTCTCCCCCTTAGCTTATTGCTCTGAGAGGCATGTGGTCACAGAATGAGACCTGTGGGAAAGTCTGCATGGCAAGAGACGGAGGCTTCTGCCATGGTTGGCATTGGTTTGTCAGTTCTGCACTGAAACACTGAGAAATGGATCTTCCAGTCCCAGTCATGGCTTTTCTAGCCATGGTTATAATAAAGAAAAACACCACCACCATTGACCTAACCCTTCAGTGCTCTGTGTTCTAAAGGCAGATAAATCTACATAATGTCTAAAACATTCCACCCTTGAAGGCCAACCATGAAAAGTTGCCTTAATGTGGCCCCTCAGAGGCCTAGGAAGCTGTAGTACAGCTTAAGGTTGAGGGAGTGAAGGACGTGTTACAGATGGGGTGGGAGAGCTATCGCATGGACACATGAAGATCTTAAAATGACACTAATACATGTAAAGCTTCTAACTTTTAACATGACCTGATTAGACTTAAAAACATAAACAAGGGATGGAGGTTTGGATCAGGGTAGAACATATGCTTAGCACATTCAAGACATTGGACTGGATCCCCAACACTGCAAAAAATAAAATAAAATAAAATGATCCTCAATGTGGAGGATTCAAGGAGAAAAAGAGTGAAGCCCATGAGACCATCAATGCAACCTGAGATCTCTACAGGGTGCTCCATCAAGTGCTCCCCAAAATTGGGGTGGAAAGATGAGAAACTGATGCAGTGGAGGCAGGCAGATGAAGACTTACAAAGGTAGCTTTGCCATTGTTACTTCCACTCACCACAGAAATTGTAGGATTTCCTTTAAAAGAGAGTGAGGCTCAGAAGAGCTATTCTGCCAGGAGTGTGGAGTAGCCCCAGCGTCCTTGGGAGCTGTCTTTGCTGCTTCCTGTCTATGCTGGAACATTCCTCATAGGACCTAAGAGGACAAACGCTCTAGTTTAACTGTCCAGTCTCCAGCAAGGGTTCTGGGATGATATGCTGTGCTGGGGTGGTGGTGGGGCACTTTGGGAACTGTGCATTTTGGAGCAGAGACTGCCATCAGGGGAACGCAGGGAGGAGGAGTCCACTCCTGGGGACTTGTGTATCCCTCAGGCAACTCAATGAGAAACTAAGGGAAGAAACGAAATAGAATTTTTTTTTCTAGAAAGGATTATGTGAGATTTTGTGGCCAAGCAGGGTGAATTTGTCTGTGATTTCTTATAAAACACTCTTATGGAAGTGAGGTAAGATCCAGAATATATTGACTTAATCAAGACTGGACCCCAGAGGCTGGGAGGGAACGTTTAAAATTAGAATTCCTGTCTTCGTTTCCTATATTTATTTGTCCAATAACAGAAGCTTTTTAATTAGCATAATAGGCATTGCAATTATTTTTAATTGGTGAAATGAGTAAGATCTAATCAATATGTGGACTGGCGACAAATGCTTCCCATATATTTGCACGTTTACATTAGGAATGAGACTTTAATATAATAGGATATCATGGTCTTACTCGTCATCTCCTAGGTTCATGTGATCGATCATCTTCCTCAGCCTCGTACGCAGCTGGGACCACAGGCCTGTGCCATGCTGCTTCACAGCCATCTCAGGCTAAATAATAAAGAACTTGAAAGACCAGAGCCTATGCTCTTAAGAGTGGCTCTCAGGCTTTCTAGTTCCATTGCCTGCCCCTTTGTTCAGCCATTCACTGAGGATGTTGTCACCATCAAAAAGGAAGGGATTTGTGTCGCATTTACCGAAGCTTCTTTATTGAATAATTTAGAGCGTTAACAAAGATAAATAAGATCCATGTTGTTCTTCAAAATAATACATATACATGACTAACAATACACCGTCATAAGGCAAAGAAATACAGCCAAATGTTCACACTACATTCAGAATTAAAAAATATACATGACATACGAAGTCATCACACAATCCACTCCAGTTCTGATCTGCATGAATGAACCTCTTCAGGACACACGGACATCTGCGAGCTAAGGCGACAGCAAAATGCACATATGTCCAGCTTCTCCACTCAGGGTTAGATGTCTGCTGCTCTTTTGAATGGGTGGTCACATTCTTTATATGTCTTCATGGAAGGTGAGACTATCCATATAGAAAGATCACTTATAAAAACCTCACCAAAATGGGGTGAGATGACATGTGGGGGACTTCTGATTGGAGAGAAGCCGCACAAGGACACACTCCGAACCCGAAAGCCAGCATCGAATGTGTCACTATCTACTTTCCTGTGGCACTGAAGGCACTTTGCCATTTGGAAAATAAATTTTCATCTCAAAAAGTCACGGGGGAGTTGAAGTGCAGTTTAGTGGTACAGAATGTGTGTAGCAGGCACAAGGTCCTGGGGTCCATTTCTATCATGAAAGAAAGAAGGAAGGACAGAAGGATGGGAGGGAGGGAAGGAAAGAAGGAGGGAGGAGTCAGGCCTGCAGATAGCCTGGCTGGCTCTTAGAGGAATATCATAATGAAGAAGACAGACTTCATTCTAACTCAAGAAAAAGAAACAAGCGAAGAAAAAATTTAAAAAGCAAGCACAGTGTCTGAGTTCTGGAGACACTGGACAATGAGCTCCAGCCAGTGAGGCCCACAGGGATGGCAGAGCCGAGCCTAACCACTGCAGCCCACAGGCCCCCGCTGCCCCCCCCCCCCCCGCTTATACTTTCATAAATAAATTTTCCAAATGAGCTGGCCCACAGCCCAAGCTAAACAAGCACATGTATGTACATTGGCACCCCACTGCCCAGGCAAGGGAGTAAAGGGGAGCAGTAGGGATGCAGGGGGAGGAGAAGGAATGAATTAAGAGTGTAGTTTTCATTTCCTTAGTATAAAATCCATATTTCTGTTCCAAAACAAGAAGAAAATTGACTATGTTAATTTCCATAAGCACACACATGTTCTTCAAGACATCAAACTAGACATGCCTATTTACATTCTCAAAGAAACAAAATAAATTAATATCAGTTGGACAAAAAGCCAGCAAAAGTAAGCTAATGGGTCTTAATACATACATGTTACCTAATTTAACCTATAAAGCTTTGCCCTAAGCTATGTCAGAGAAATTTCTTCCAAAGTATTTTTGTGAAGCGAATGAAAACATATGCCCCTTCTTTCTTGTTCTTAAATATCTGGGTAAGGGTTAGTGTCTCCCGAAATCTGAACATGTCAAAGTTATTTGCAGGCTATTTCTCTCTGAGCAGCAGGAAGTGCCCATTGCTGCCTTGTGATGCTCAAGAAAACAATTTCTCCAGGCATCAGAGGGAGGTGAGCGGAGCCCTCCTGTTCGTGAAGAGGGTGGAGTGCAGGCAGTCCCTCAAAATCCTATGACCCCTTGGAAAAGTTGATGACAAGAGCCCCAGAACAGACAGGCTCCACTTCCAAGTCCACACTGGTGTCTGGCTTGATTCCCTGGCTTTGCGAAGCCCCTTTCCCACCACGGCTGACATCTAGCAAGTTATACTGAAGCAGCCGCGTGGGTGTGGATGGAGGGGACAGGCGAAGACAGACTGGTCAGCTCCTGCACCTCTGTAACTCAGTCTGGGCTATAAAATGCTGCCGCTGGCATGGGGCTACCCACCTTCTTACCGAAATGCGCAAGCTTAACTGCACGTTGGAAGAGCCACTCCCAGCAGCCTCCTTTCTAAGCCTTGGAAAACAAAAACTAAAGAAATCATACCCACTAATTGTGGGGTCATCATGTAGATTCAGGTGGTCAACAAATCATGCCTGTAGGTGACCTAAGCTGTCCCTTCCACATGTGGCAGGCCCAAGTGTCTGCCAACATGTGTTAGAACGAAAGCTGATGTCTCTCAGAAGATCTATGCCCCGAGCTGAGGGAGAGTCCATGCTTACAGCTGAAAATGCCCTTCCATGCAGGGTTTCCAACTAGACCCTTGCGCCCCATTTAGCATTTGAGTGAATGCCAACCTGCTGTGGTCAAGGAACATTAATGCATGCACTGGCTTGTGTTTTTTTCCATACTCAGTGAATAGTATCAGCTAAGCATAGCACAGTAATAGAATATTGAAGTCAGAACTCTACTTATTTGTTCCTGCTCCTGTGTTTGTGTGGTGGGGGTGGTGGGGGTGTGTGTTCTTTTTGAAGAAGAAGAGAAAGAGGAGGAGGAGAAGGAGGAAAAAGAAGAAGAAGGAGGAGGAGGGAAGGAAGGGAGAAGGGAAGGAAGGAAGGAAGGAAGGAAGGAAGGAAAAAGAAAGAAAGATTGATTGATTTTATGTTTAATAGGGATATGAGAAACCATGAATGCATGGTTCAAAGGAAGAAAGACGTGTGTCACAGCATGAGAACACTGGCCAAAAGAAGGAAATTTTTACAACTGCCACAACAACAAAATGGGCACTGGACTTCACTAATTGACACCTACTTTCCCTTCAGAGTTGGGAAAGAAATTACTACGAGGAAGCATTAGTTATTGGTGTGCATGCTTATGACTGCAAGGGTTGATGATTAGCCGTGGGCTTTAAGTTGGCCCTCAATGACAGGGCCACTAGGATATTCTTGCCAATAGTGATTGTGACATCGCTTTATAACTAAAAATGGGGGCATTATTTTGCTGAGCTAAACACAACAGCCATTTGTCTAAATTTGCAGTGGATTTTCAGATAGCTTTGTAAAGTTCTGTCTTCGTACAGAAATGTTGCACATTTTGCTTTCTGTAGCCCTAAAGCTTTCTGTCCCTTAAATGTCACCTGCAGTAGTGCTCATGTTCCTTATTAAACATCTGACAGAAAATAGCCCATGTGCTAGGAAATAAGAAGCTTGCATCCCACAACTCTGCAGCAGGTACAAGTAGGTATCTATGAGTTTGAAGCCAGCCTGGTCCACATAGCAAGTTGCAAACCAGCCAAGGCTACAAAATGAGACCCTGTTTCAAAATAAAGAGCAACAACAACAGTTTGCAACCAGAAATCAGTTTTCCTTATTTATCACCCTACAACTGTTGACTCTTGTGAGAATTTCAAAGCTGTGAATTTGCATAACTATGATTATTGGTCTTCTAAATTCAGTTTACCCAGAAGCTGGAGAGCCACTTTCTAGCCACCAACACTGCAATCTGAGCATTGTCCTTCCCCAGGGTGCACAGATCCATCTCCTACTGGTGACATCTAGGGCTTGAAGGAAGTTCTCGTGACTGTCTTTTGAAGGTCATCATTTTAAGGACTAACCACAAATAGACCCTTTGCATCATGTCCCCAAACCACCATGTTTAATGGGAATGAACTTGCCCGTTAGACCAGAGCAAAGGGCACTCTGTGGAAAAGTATGGTATGAATCTGAATATGGAACCAGCCACTGGGTAGAAACTGTTGCACTTGGGAGAGAGTTCAAAATACACAGAAGGTGCCCTGTGTGAAGTCTCTTGCCTTAGAGGTCTTATGTTCCAGCAAGTAAATTCTCCATTGAATTCATCCCATTTCAGATCACAAAGAAATGCAAATCAAAGTGCCCAAACCTTAGATGTTTTCTGGTGATACTGCCCCCTTGAGAAGCACAGTGCAACAACCGGAAGCCATTTTCTCTCTCCAAATGTATCCTACAGATATGCATTTCAGGCTCTGCTCTGGTAGCCCGAGAAACGGCATAGCGTGCCTGCTGCGGCACTAGCATCCAAAACTACAAACAAACATCGAAACACAAAAAGTCAAGGAGGCAGAGCAACATCTTCCCCTCTGCGCACTAAGTGGGGTGTGGGCATCTGCCTGAGCCCCTAGGAGCCACCTGGGTCACCCACTGAGCACAGCAAAGCCTCTCCAAGTTCAAGTTCAAGGCTGCCCGTGCTATGGCTGCCAGTCATCACAGGGGTCAAGGCACCAGAACTGCTGATTTTTCCAGAAGCCTTCTCAAAGCAGCAGCAACCACAGCAGTTTTCCTGCAAAGCAAACAAAATACCAATCTTGTTAATTCAGCAGGACTTTAAAATTGTAATTAGCTGGTTGTGCCCCTTAGGAAAACCACAGATGATTTTTCATAATGTATGTGTGTATGTGTGTGAGACAGAAGGAAAACGCCTGACAGATTCCACTGCTCACCAGGGCTGCTTGGTTTTTTTAAAAAGCCCCTGTGAGTATTTTAGCACTATCTGCAGTACTGAAGGACAAGGCCCTCTTTGTTTCCTCTGAAGCACAGCCACTCCTATGCTGTTGTCATCAGTCCACGGTCAACCTGATTTCGGCATCAAAATGAGAATTTGGGCTAGGAAGGGCCATATGGTCACCCAGTATTGGTTGGAGGGTGGTTCCACCGACCCTCCCACAAATGCCAGGATCCACAGATTGCAAAATCCCTTATATGAAGTAGCATAAAATTTGGCAAAACCCACATACAGCTTCTTGTATGTCCAAAATCATGTCTAGGTGACTAATAACGCTAGTGATGGAGGGTTTGGTGAACAATTGTGTCCCATTGTTTAGGAAACAGTGACAAGTTCCCACTTTTTCCCTACAATGTTTTTCTCCAAATATTTTCTACCTACAGTTGAATGGATCCAAAGATAAAAGCCACACAAAGATAAGAGCAGATCACATTCCCACCTTTGATAGAGGTTTGCACATGGTTGCTGCTCAGACTCATTTCTAAGCAACATCTTAGAATTTTTAAGCCTTATAGGTGGGAGAAGACTCAGGTTGGGAATGATTGACAGAGAGCCACCAGGCTACTTTTGTGTTTTATTGGAACCTACATCTCTTTCTTTTCCATAAGAATAATCTTTAACCACCAGATCTCTTAAAATATTCATCTCAAACTTAGTTTCACTTATAAGATCTTACCACAAGCCTCATTCATCTTCTCAAGTGGTTTTGCTCAGTGTTGATACTTGCATACATACATACACACACATGACTGCACACACACACACACACACACACACACACACACCACATTCCTTTTCCTTTTTGTGTGTTGAAGAGAACTGAACCTAGGCTTTGCACACACTGGGTGAGCACTATATCAACAAGCTGTAGCCCCAGCTCTCTTTTGTAATTTTAAAATCTGAGACAGGCTTTAGTAAGTTGTCTGGTCTGACCTTAAACTCATTCTGTAGGCCAGGCAGGTCTGGAGTTTGCCATCCTGAGTTAATACTTGAAATTTAATTTTTAATTTAAATCGTGGCACCATAGTAGGTCCCATGAGCATTAAGCATGAGGCTGGGTTCCATCCCTACAATTGAGACTAAGGAGAAAGGGAGCAACTAAGGAAGCAGGCAGATTATGTAGATCTGAAAACATTCTTCCTGACCTGCAAGGAGCCTCTAAGGTCAAAGGGGCTAGGGGAGCCCAGGGAAGGAAGGCAGGCAGGCAGCCCTAGACCATCAGGAAACAAACCTGTCTGAGCTCAGTAATTCCAGCAGAGTGTGCCCAGCTGTATGGTGTGACCAGCTCAGTGCTTCCGTTTCTGTTCCTACATGGGGCTGCACTGTCTTCCATCACACTGGGTTCAAAGTGACAGCTTTGGCATGGAAGGACGTTACCTCCTCCCACCACCATTTCCTCTTCATTCTTTCCCCACAGACCCTGGTGACAGGCCCTCCTTGGAATGCAACCTCCTGTCACCCAGTGCACTCATTCCCACCAGGCCTCCAAAGTGACTCCAGAGCTCTCTGTGGGAAGGTGGTTTGTGGCAAACCCTAGGGGTTTGTGGTGGCTGGGGACAAAGCTGCTTCTGAAGAAAAGGGTGGGGGAGAGGAGAGGTGGGGATTGGCATTGCCTGCTTGCTCTGGGGCCCTGGGTGTTCACAGCTCCAAGGGCAGGCTATGACTGAGTGCTTCATTTAGGCCTGGGGCTCCTGTGGGTCTTAAAGCAATACCTTCCTCCAACTCCTCTCACTTTATTGCCCTTGACAAACAAGGATGATCTTGTAAACACAAAGTCCAAATCTTCTCCTTGACTGTTCATAGGTTTCTAAATAAATGACAGACTTTTAAACGACCCCGACAAAGGCTACGTGCTTTCTAAACCCTAGCTTGAGCCTTTGACTGTGATATACTGACTTAGTCTCTCTCCATCTTATTCTCTAAAAGACTCAAGGCCACTTAAAAGACTATATCCTGGCAGACAGACAAGCAGAAACCCTGGCCCAGAAAAATATAGATCAGAATGAAAGATTAAAACCAGTTAGAGCGGGAGTTTACAGCTCAAGGTTAGAGCTCTTGCTTAGCATGCATAAGGCTCTGGATTCATCCCAGGCACCACAAGATGAAAAGGGGGCTGGGGATGGGGTGGGGAGAAAGACCAGTTGCCCATCGCAAAAATGTAAGCCTTGTGCAGTTGTTAAATTTTCGCTGCAAGAATGACCGTGGACTTTCTAAGTTTAGGGAGGTAGCCCTTCTTAAAGGTTATATATTGCAATTTCTAAGTATCTCTTGGTTGTTGCCCTGCTGTTCTGTCTTCTCTAGAATATGCCTACTCTTTATTATTGATATAAAAGAAGGCATGCCCCCAAACTGTCCCTTAATAATCCAACAAAACTAAGCATGGGGCAAAGAAGCCAGACCTGACTTTGTGTTTTTTGAGGTCAGAAAGCACAACCCTGGTCAGAGGTAGCTGCTGTGTGGGGGAATGTAGACTTTAGCTTCTAGAATAGCAGAGTATCTCACCCCACTGTTTTTTAGGTAAAGTCTGAATAGTCTTGGGTGTACTACTTCATTCTCCCAGGTATCACAACTATAAGGGTAACCTGAGACAATTTCTGTACAAGTTCTGGAGCCCACTGTGCAAAGATGTCTCAGGTCTCTGCCTGTATTTATCTCAGTAGGGCTACTCAGCAAGCTGGGGCAGTGGACTACCTACAATCCACACAATACCTACAATCCACTTCCTCTCCCAGGACCTGGTAAAGCTGGAAAGAAGAAAACACAGTAATCTGATTGGAGCCTTCCCCTACCCACCAGCCCAAACACTGCCTGTGTCTCTCAATATCTGTGCAAGAAACGCCCAGCTTCTCTCTCCTACGCCATTCACGTAAGCAATACACAGACACCACTCAGCAAACAGTCCCAAGACCAGAGGAGTACATTTTCACGATGACTGGAATCTAGTTTTCCTGGGGTACAATCCCAATTATCCCCAAACAAATGTAATTTTATTTGTTCCCATGGAAGGAGGTGGGGGAAACTTGAGACCAACCTTCAGAATAGGCTCACTCCTCAAGTTACTTGGTCGTGAGGTTCTGTGCACCAGAGTTAGAGTTCTTCTAGGGAAACAAAAACGTTGGAGGAAGGATTAGAACAGCTTTTTATCAGTTTCGGACTTACAATAGCAGAGCATGTGAGGAACTGATAATTTGCTATTGGCTTCGTGGTGATCTTCCAGAGACATCCAAGAGGCTAAAATTGTCAGCAACCTTCTGATAGACACAGCTGTTCCTCACTCTACAACGACATCCTGTGATCGGTTCTCTTTCTTCCACTGAAGCCAGGGTCAATCCACTTACTCCCTCACTGTATTTAATTTACAGATGTATGTTTGTTCAAAGCCCACTTTGGCAAAGCAAAAGAGCTAGTACTCATGACATTGGGGCTAGGACAACTAAAGGGATGGCTGCTTCTGTGTAAGATCAGTGGAGTAGAGGAAGGGATGTTAAGGGGCGTGGGAAGGTTTAAGAAGAGAGCCAAGGTCTCGGATGGGGTTCTACAGCCATTGTAAAGGAGGTGGCATTGGGCATCCGCCTTAGTTAACAGGATTCTATGTGACAAATAGTGACAGAGACAAGACTGGAGTTTAGGGTGTATTAGAATAGCTGTGTCTGCTGGTGTGTTGCCTTGGTGTGAACAGCGGGAGGAGTATGAAGACTTTGTGATTGGGGATGGTCATGACATAGCTTGGATTTTAACTGCCCTTCCCCCAGGCCCATGTGCTAAATAAAAGCTTAGTCTCCAGCCCGTGGTGCTACTTGGGAGTGTTAATATATCTTAAAGGTCACTGGGGTCATGACTTTGACGGAAGTGATAGGACCCTAACCTGCTCTTTTTGTCTTTTCCTGGCCACAAAGTGAACCTATTGGACTACATCTCCACAGGAGCAATACTAATGAGATTATAATTGTGACGTAAAATAAGAAAACTTAGCACCAAGAACTTCATCATGTTGTATGTTTGTTATTGTGGATGGAAAGATGACTATTAGAGATGTTGTGAATAAGGAAATCCTTTGCTAGTATGAACAGCAGTGGGTGTTAGCCTGTGGTCTGTTTTTGTTCACTGGGGGAAGAACAGGCACAAAGTGAGTAGATCTGACAAAAGGAAGAAGGGGAGAAGGAAGTTTTGTTCCCGGAGAGAAGCCACACCATCCTTGCTCACATTTCTTTCCTCTGGCTGCAGAGCACTGAGGAATTTCAGAAGATGCCTACCAAGTTCTGCTAGTGGCGGGGGGTGGGGGGGGTGGGGGGGTGGGGGGTGGGGCTTCTGATGTGGATGTGTTGTGTGTGGTTGGGGACGGAAGACAGAATAGAATCACTGTGTGGCACTTTAAGCCTACACAGAAGGCAGAGAACTTCCAGGCCTTAACTTCTAGGAGAGGAAAAACATGCTTCTTAAAAGAAAATGGGCAGTTCAACTGATCAGAAGCTAATTAATAGCTTTCAAGCATAAAACAATCAAAAGAGATAAATAAGAAAATACAAAGTACTTTGAAATAAATGTTAGGCCAACTGGTAGTTTTCAATGAGAATTAACATTTAGACACAATGTAAATTCTTATTTTAGAGAACATACAGGAACCAGATTATTTCCAAAGGAAATATACAAAAATTTAAGTCTCAACAGGTTTAATATCCCTAATCCAAATATCTGAAATTTGAAAGGCTTCAAAATCTAAAACCGTTTGAGTTCCAACGACATGATTCTAAAGTAGAAAAGTGCACAGCTGACTTCATGTGCTAATAGTCCAAATGCAGGTGCACTAAACACACTGCACACAACCTTCTGAAGACGGTACACATAGGGTGTACATGAAACAAGGGGATTCCATACCAAGACTGGGTCCCATGCTTAAGGTATCTCATCGTACACATGCAAATATTTCAAAATCTGAAGAGATCTAACATCCGACATACTTAAGGTCCCAAGCATTGTGGATTAGGGATGATCAACCTGTATTTTATTGAAAAATAAAAAGTACTGATTGCATTTAGGCACCCAGGAACACCAAACACATATAGTACTGTAGTGGGTCTGGAAACAAGCTCCAAGCCTCTTCCCAGCCATCAGGAGCGTGGTAAAGCTTTGTCCATGCTCCAGCACTTCCTGACCCCACCACAGTGTCCTCATCTACACAGTGGCAATAGTAATTAATAATGCCAGGTTAATGAGGTCAGCATGAGGGTTCCATGTGTTAATCCTTGTAATGCAGTTAGAGTCAGCTCCATGTATGACTTTAATAATAACTAGCTGTATGCACAGCGAGTTTAAAAACTATTTTCTTGTGATATCTATTTGCTTCAGGTGTCACCAGTTGGGTGGGATAACAAAAAGGTGATTTTTTGTAGTTGTGGTCACATGATTTAAAATATTTTTAAACACTTTCTAGCCTGTATAATGTCATTAATTCCTTGCTGTCACTTCTATATTGTCCTGACATGTCAAAGTGTATTTAGACTCCTGGTTAAAAATACATTGGTGGAAAATGGGCTCAGAATAGGTTGGTCACCCTAATAAGCAGTTTATGCAGTCTGGGTGAGGTACTGGCTAGGTAATAAGTCTATTTTTATTTGCCATCAGTACCAATTATCAAGGAAAGGTATATTCAGACACAAATAAAACTCAGTACTGATGCTGAATTTAGATGTAGATTTAATTTCAATAAAAACTGGCTGTGGAAAAAGTGAGAATCTGAAGCAGTCATTCCAAGGTTTGCTGGTCAGAGAGGAGTCCTTTTCCAAACCCCAGGAGTGCGGACGGTGAAGAGAAGAGCAGGAGCAAATGGGAGTGTGGAGAGGATTGCAGTCCCAGGCCGGGAATCAGCCACCCAGCCAGGGTACCCATTAGAGGCATCCTTACAAGCTAGGGGCCGGGAGGTGGGCTGCCTATCATCTCCATGCCCACCTATTCCAGTTAAGCCTAAATGTTAAGTAAGGCTACTTAATGTGGTGCGTCTGCCTTTGTGTTATCTCAAAAATTCATTGTTATTTGGCAGGAAAAAGCAAATACCGGAGAAGCAGTTAGGAGTTTACTGTAGCAATTCCAGGAGCAGGTCTCCCGGGCCAGGGCAATGTGGGATGAAGATAGCTGGAGAGATTCCTCATGCAATTAAAATACACAAGGTACAGAACTTTGAGAAGAAGGAAATAGAAGACAGGTAGGCTTATCCCAGGTTGAGCATTAGATGAGTTGGTGCCCAGAGGAGAAAAAAGTGCACAAGGTAAACAGAGAATTTAGAATTGTGACTTTTGTTTTAGGGAGAGAATTTTCCTAAATATACATTAGCATATCTCCTCCAAACTGTTTTTATATCCCAGGCCATGTATCAGTGTAAGTGGGAGAGTTTGTGGTCAACACACTTTACAACAGATACAATGATTCCCTAGTGCTAGAAGCAGTCTAAGAAACTTATATAAAAGATGATACTATTATCTCAATTAAAACACACTAAGCAACTTATTTCTAGCACAGATTTGAAATTGTGAGCAAACACATGGGAAATCTCACTTAAGGCTGAGCTGACTACAGAAACGGATGAGATAGGCAAATGGAAAGCCAAGAGAAAACAGGAAGCATGGTCACCTGGGCCAGTCTGGAGTGGAGTCTGTGGTCGGACAGCCAAGGATGTTTGAGAGCTTCGCTGGCACTTATTCTCCAGCTGGAAGGAAATTCAGAAGCATGTTAGAGGAGCCCACTAAATGACGCCTGCGTCCACAGTTTCTCTTTGGCCGTCTGCAGTTTCACAGCTTTTGATAGAGTGGCTAACTCACGTTCAAGCCCCTCTGGACATTTCTATCATGCAATTCCAGAAGGCAGGCTTGAACGTGAGTTAGCCACTCTATCAAAAGCTGTGAAACTGCAGAGGGCCAAAGAGAAACTGCGGACATACTGGCTTTGGGGGAGCCTAGGCAGTTTGGATGATCACCTTACTAGACCTGGATAGAGGTGGGCGGTCCTTGGGCTTCCCACAGGTCAGGGAACCCTGATTGCTCTTCGAGCAGATGAGGGAGGGGGACTTGATCGGGGGAGGGGGAGGGAAATGGGAAGCGGTTGCGGGGAGGAGGCAGAAATCCCTAATAAATAAATAAATTTAAAAAAAAAGAAATGTCCAGAGGGGACTATCACCTCTAACCACGGTAACAACATTGGTAACACAAACAGGACAATAATCAAATTCTTATGAATTATTGAATGTTTCTTCAAATATAAATAATTATTCTGTGATATGACATCTGAGCTTCATAAGTTGAACTCTTAACAGAGAAATAAATGCACATTTCTTAATTATAGGAATAAAATGCTCCAGCAATTCTCAATGAATAGAGAAGCAGTATGCATGGGAAGTCTTTTGACTATGTCTGCTAACTTTCGAATGAAGGAGTTTTGGTGAGTTTATACAGGAGTATCCAGGAGTTAAAAACACATGCAACACATGCACACAGTTTAAAGTAAACACAGAGTTGTTCATCCTCCAAAGTTTGAAAAAGTTGTCATTTTTCCATCTCTACATTGTCGAGGATCCATAAATGTAAAATAATATCAGTACTGGCTGTTATTTTGCCTAAGAAGTCAAGTACAAACAAATTAACTCCATAGATTGTCCTTTCTCTCAGACTGATGCTGTTATTCGGCCCGGTCTCCTCACCCTTCAAAGCAGCAGCTCTCAAATGCAACCCCTTCAACAAATCATATCTCCTAAATTATTCACATTTCAATTTGTAACAGTAGCAACGTTACAGTTATGAAGTAGCAATGAAAATAATTTTATGATTGAGGGTCACTGCAACTGTATTAAAGGGTCACAGCATGAGGAAGGTTGAGAACCACTGCTTTAGAGACTCGGATCTGGCCCCTTTGTCTTAGGAACTAGTTTGTATCATTTCTTTCTAAAAAGACCTATCTTGCCAGACATGGTGGTGTATCGCCTTTAGATCTCAGCACCTGAGAGATAGATACAGACAGATAGATCTTCATGGGTTTGAGGCCAGCCTGGTACACAAACTGAGCTCCAGGCAAGTTGTGACCTGTTTCCTAGGGATAGATGGTCGGTGAAAGTGAAAGACTCCCCCACCTACCACCATTACCCGTTACCTACGGTATTTCTCCTGCTCTCCATAACATCCTCTTTCTTATTCCTTCACAGTCTTGTTTATTAGTGGGACAATAAAGCAGCTGTTATCGGCTCTGAAGATCTTAAATGTGACATACCATCACACAGTTCGGATATAAAGCCATCTAAAGAGGCTGCTCACAGTGCCCTTCTTACTCCATGAATCTAAAATCAAGCCTCTATATTTTAATATCATGCATGTTCATTCACTAAAATTTAAATTGATGTGTTTTTAGCATGAGAGGAAAATATAAGGCTATCTGAGAGTCTAGAGCGTAAGCTTGGAGGAAGAACAACTTCTGTTTAGTGTCATTTCGGTCTCTTCCTAGCAATGTTGTTAGCAATAGGCTAACAATATACAGTCGCATCATAAAGTGGTCATAATAGAAACTTCTCCCTCTGGGAATTAAGAGCTTTGATGAAAAGAAATGATGTTCAAAAAACAGATGACACTGTCTGGCTCATAAATGTTGATCAATGTAAAAGGGATTGAGGGCAGGTCACCTGAGGTCAACCAGTCTGCTGGAACTTTATTACAAAAGTCACACACACACACACACAAAAAAAAAAAAAACAAATTTTTCAGTCCCATCCAACCTCATGACTGAAACAGTCCTAGGCACTAGCAGATTGGGTAAAGGATTCAAACCTCATTGCATTCAGAGCCTGCACAGGCGTCACGGATATTACGGAGGGGATGGGATCTACTAACTCCGTGGTGCACACTGCACCTAATCATCCCTAGTCCTCCTATAACCCAAGATGAACTTGGTTTACCTCTTCTCCTTAATGAGGAGCTTAGAGATGAACTCCTTGGCCTCCTCTGAGATGTCCTGAAATTCTTCATCCTCTAAATCCCACCTGCATGCCAGGATGTTGGTCAGCGTCTCTGCATCATTATCTCCCAAAAACGGGGACAAGCCACTGAGTCTACAAGACACAGAATTGAGGGTCAGGATGGTTTAAACAGTTTGGTATGTTTTATAGACAAAATACTTTTTAGTTTGGCCATTTAAAAATGAAAACAGGAAAATATTGATAAACCATAAGTATATAATACATCAGTGCAGCCAGGAACATGCCTGTGTCTCCCATCCCAACTCCCAATTAAGCAATTGCAGCACTGAAGGTTGTAGCTGTACCTGAATAAAGCTCAAATAATAAAATAAATTTTCCTTTCAAGTATTTTACAGCTGGCAAGACAAGGTACTGCCACATACTCAGAAAGCAAACCCCAGAGGTCATTGCTGAGGTGCAATCCAAGCAGATCAGTGCCCACTGATCCAAAGAGATCAATATCTAAGATCTAAAACAAGACAAAACAAAACAAAAACTATGTTTAGGACTCTTAGCTGCTATCCTGGGACTCAACATGACCTGTGGAGAAGACATGCATATCCTTTTTTTTTTTTTTTAAGATATAGTAGGGAAAGGATTGACTCCTTCCATTTAGAAGATTAACATAACCTAAGCAATGGGAGATGGCACTGGGTTATTCTAGAAGAACATTATTATTGTTATTCTAGAAGTCAAGGCTTTTTCATCCCAGTGGAACCTCCTCGAATGTTCACAGGCTAAGGATGAGTGTATGAACAACGGGAGAGCTGCTTACAGCATGTACGTGATAACACCCACACTCCACATATCCGTAGGAAAGGAAACAAAATCATAGTTCACAACTTCAGGGGCAAGGAATTCTGGGGTTCCAAAGTTCACCTTCAGTTTCTCTCTGGGTTTGTATCTGAAATTGAGGGAACAAGGTGGGAGGGTTGGACAGGTCAATCGACAATCAAAACTACTGAACATCGAAAACAGGCACCATCTCTAAGGCAAAACTAACTTCAATTATGCAGCAGACAAAAAAAAAATAAATACACTTTTGCCAGAAATCGAACAGCCATGCTAGTGTCAAAAGCTGATTAACATTCCAGGGGTTCAAAAGTAAAAACAAATCCTATACAACCTTAATATTCTGAAACAGTTGTAAGAAAGCCATTCTAGATAACTGGAACATTTGAACAAGGTTGTGACAGGACCTGATACGGTTCTTCCCATGCACATGGCCAGCACAAACCCTTCCAAACTGCGGAATGCTGGAGCAATCCATGGCTTCCATTGCCTGTGCATTAGTGTGCCGAGCTGTTCATGTGCCCATGTAAATCATTTGTTTCCCTAAGACATCAGAACCCACTATGTCTTGTTTAAACTACTAACATTTTTAAAGTAAATTCCCCCTTTATAAATGAAACAAATACAAAATCAGGATAAACATAGATTCCAAATTAATGCATTATAAGTTAACAAGCTTTAATGGACTAGGTTTTCACTTCTCATTTTTATTATATGCCTTACAGAAACTTCTCAGTGCTTAGATCTCAAATCTAACAGGGTTAGGGTAAAACTAATTTTTATTAAGTTAATTCTAAACGAAGGCATGAGATCCGGGCCATAGCAGATTGTCTTTGCAAAGAATGAATTTGCCTCCCACCCCCTACCTCTATCCCTGAACTTACATCCAAACAGACATACCTTCTGGCCAATCCAAAATCAATAATTTTTATTTGCTTAGCATCCCGGTTCACACACAGGATGTTCTCAGGCTGCCAGGAGAAAGAGACACATTAGCAATGAAAACAACCATCTTTCACTCAAATTGTCCTTGAACCACAACTAAAAATACAAGATGCTCAGGAAAAACATATCAAGCCTTTTACTCGGGGGCTGGTTTGTCTGTGTGGGTATTTTCTCCTTTAATTATGTGGTGGCTGAGGTTGTGGGTAGCCTGCCAACCTTGCATTACCCTGCCTGTCCCTCTTCATGGTTTTACAGATTGCCATAATGCATGAGTTCAGGCAGGGGCCTTCTAGAGGAGAGAAAGAGAGGAGAGGCTGTTCCAGCATTTTCCAAGTGGGCTGGTGGAGGCCAGTTCAGAACTGACAGAGCCCTTCTCCTGTTAAAGTATTAAGTATATTTCCTTCTTGGAGGAATATTTCCCCCAAGATTTACGAGTTCCAAGAGAAATGGCCTGATTCACTTAAAGAACCACGTTGAATATGCAATATAATGCGAACATTTTTGACCTCTAGATTTTTCCCTTGTGCTTTGTCTATGGGAAAGTCGCATGCTAAAGGAAAGCTTTTGTCTCCTGCTCATTCTTCATCTCCAAAATTCCAAGGTTTTGCTGAGCTCGGTCTCAGTGCTTAAAGTCCTTGACTAAGTGTTCCCTTGGAGTTAGATGCTAGTAAAACTTGGCCCTGCTAATCTGACAGGCTTGGGGGAGGGGACAAAATCAAGCTACAGCACTACTACCCGGTGTCCCTGGAATGTCCTGCTGATGTAGCTATACTTATTGGGATAGAAAACCTTAAGTCTGGGAAAAATAAGTAATCTCATTTAAAGCCAAGGTCGTCCATTAAAAAAAAAAAAGAAATACTATTTTCAAAGAAGAGCCAAGAACTCTTAAATTCTAATTTCAACTCCGCTAAGAGCTGGGCATAGCAAAATTGCCAGGTACCCAGGATTCCATCTTTGTCCTTTACATGGGCCACACCCCCTTCCACATCCTGTCTGGAGGAAAGGAGGTCCAAGTGAGGCAGAAACCCAGACACACCTTATGAAATGATGTAGTGTCTCCATATCAACGTCTAACCGCCCAGTTCACTGTGTGTAATATCTTTGGAAGCTCTTCCCTAAAATGTCTCTAAAACAGATGTCTGAGAGTAAAAGCCATTTTACACAGAGGTGGGTGCTCACTAGGGTAGTTTGGAGTCATGCTTAAATTATGGCTTGAACAAGTAAAAGCTGTCCTATTATCAAAGAATACCACAGTATCCTGAATATTCTTTTGCAGAATATGAATGAGGGCACTTCAAAAAAAATAATTTCTATGATACTAAAACTTACAACATCCATCATCTCAGATAAAATTTTCAGGAAATAAAATTATAAAGGAGAATCATTGTAAGTCATCCCTTGACTCCCTGAAGTGATACACGCTCAATACCCTCAGCCTTTTCCTTCCAAGGAACTCTCTAAGGAAACCTGCTCCTTCGTGACTCATCCCGTTGTCACCTTTGTTGTTATCTTTCTATATAAGCCCTAACTAAAACTGCCCATTGTAAGTCTTCAATCAATGTTACAAAGCCACAGATGGAGTCATTTGACTTATGATAGGTCAGCTCCTGGCTCCAGTTGCCAATCAAATCCCTTTAGGGTTGTTTGTGGAATATCCACAGTGAACAAAAGTACTCCTTGGACGCGCACGTTATCATACTCAGCTTGTGGCCAAGGACTTTGCTAATGATTTTTAACCTCTGACTTTGTCGTTTTATGTACCACTTCCCCTCCTTCTTCCTCCTGCACAACTGTGAGTGGGAAAGGCAAGGCGCATAAATCAAGACCGTGAGGGAAGCCAAGTTGTAGGAAGAGAGGCCCATGGAAACCTATTTAAGGAGGCCAGATTTATTCAGCTGTACCTTCCCTGGAGACTTACAATATATGGTATGTTACATAGAATACACAATTTATCTCACTGTCATGCTGTGAAAACAGAGAAATGAGAAAATGATCAAACCACACAAGAAGATGCACTCTGTGATATTAACTCTAACATAGACTGGACCAGGCTTGTTAGGGCTCAGCCTTTTGCTGGTTTTATCTAAAGTGATGTGCAATCCAGTTCTGGAGACTTCATAATGAGAGAGAGATAAAGAGGAGGAAGGAAATGGACTGGCTTCCCTCTTGGTTTCTGATTTGTCAACAACTGCCCTTGCTTCTCTTTGGCAGTGCAGCCCCACCCTCTAGCTGCCCTGCATTCTGTTCTCCACAGCCTCTACTCGGTGTTTTAGCAAACCCATAGGACAGTAAATCCCAAACCAGAGTTTCCTAGAAGAATTCAAGAGGCTACTGGGGATTCTCAAATCTGAAACGGTAGCTACAACTTGGGAACTGAAGACTAAAATACTCCCACCGTATACCCTGATAGTAAGAAGATGGCAGAAATATTGTGACACTTGTTTTAATTCTACACTTTTAGGGAAATGATCTCCTGTGTTGATTTAATAAAGTTAATTTATAATAATCTCAACAAGGGACTCTAAAGATGGGCATGCGAATATTAGCCCCCAAAAGTGGTGACAGTTATAAATAAGATAAAAATCCTGATTTTGCTAGGTGGTGTGATGTGAGTTTGTCCCACCAGCTAGGGAGGCTGGATTTGACAGGATAGCTTGAACTTAGAAGTTCATGCCTAGGCTGGGTGAAGAAGCAAGACACTGCTCAAAAAACACACAAACAAAAAGAGAAAGGAAAAAAATTCAGATTTTTGTTAATTCCTAAAAACATGACCAGAGACAACACACCTTCCCAAGGCTGGTACATAATGGGGGAAGAGCTAAGGAGGCCTTACATTTCACAGGATGAGAAACATGCCGTACCTTGAGATCCAAGTGGAGGATGTACATCTGGTGCATGTACCTTATCCCCTCACAGATCTGCTTCATGAACAGGATGGTGTCCAGCTCTGTCAAGTTGCAGTTTTCATCAATGATGCGATCAAACAGCTCCCCACCCTCCACACTGCAGAGGGAAGAGGTGGAACTTTGAGTCCTGACTCCATGAACACCGCATGTATATCTTGTGCGAAGTCGCTGCCCAAGTGCCTGTAGCTCTTGCAACAGGTATGTGTGTGCGCAGTTATTTCCTTGCCTTCTTTACTGTATGGGTTACATGATGCTTATGTGGATACCTTCAGTATACCTTATGTCTATACCTTCAATGTCACACAACTAAAATCTCAAAGTCCCTGTCATCGGTGGCTGCACTATAGCTGAATTCATGTATGCCACATAACAGATACTGGGGATGAAGAGAACTCAAGGACACACTGAGATGGGATTCCAGTGTTAACAGGAAGTGAGTCAAGGTCTTCACTTTTTGAGTTCTTAGATTAAGAGTAATAGCAAAGTATTTCTATGTGGCTGATACTGGATACAGTTGTTTTCCAAAAAGCCTTATATACCATGCAAACAAAACAAACCAACTTTCAGTGTCTGTTCAGTATTAAAACTACTTGAATTTGGTGGTGGGTGTGCTGGTGTAGCACTTTGTAGGACTTTGGATATAAAACAGGGCATCACACATGCTCGGCAGGCACTCTATCACCTGAGCTGATCAAGTCTTTGCACAGGGAATTCTGAAATGGAGCTGTTTAGTATCAGGGGCTTGGCGTGTGCTTTGTGTTCTTTGAATGCTTAACCACCCCCTCTCCCCAGCTTCATTCTGTTAGGTTTTGGCAACTCATGGTCACCTGTGATCAGTATAGCACAAGACACCCAACCTTGGTTTGGGACAACAGAGCCTAGATACAGGCTGCATCTATTTTGTCCTGCTGCATCTGATCAGTGAGTCACACTGGGAGACTGCACTTGGAAACAGTTTCCCTTCTGACTCTGGCAAGATCTCATGTCTCCTGCATCTCAGATCCAACAGTGCACTGCCCATGACTCCGTGTAAGTCATGAGCACTGGGCAGAAGGTGTGTGGCAGCAGGTGGAGGGGAGAGGACACCTACTACTCCATGACGAGGATGATGTCCTGCTTGGACTCAAAGGCATCATAGAGCTGAATGAGGTTCACGTGGTCCAGCTGGTTCATGATGCTAATCTCATTCTTCACATCCTCCTGAGGAGAAGGAAAGAGTGGATTAGTGTGGTGGAGACTGGCCCAGAGGGAGAAGAGACACACCTCCCGGCGCCTTTACCTTCTCCTTTGCACTTCTGATCTTAATGATTTTAGCAGCCAGCTTCAGGCCCGTTGCTTTCTCTTCACACTTGTGAACCTGGCCAAAGCGCCCCCTGCCAAACAACAGACGGTTCAGTGAGGCACTGTAGTCTACAGGGCCCCATATCGGTCCCTACCAGGTGGACAGTATGCCTTCCCAGTCATTTGTCTCTTGAGTGAGCACACTTGCAAATATGTCTCTGTATCTGGAGCAGCACTGGCCAAGGTGAGATCTAGGGGTCACCTATATCCCCCCCAGGAAGTTGTGCTTGTCTTTAGTCAGTCTTCCACGTCAGAAGCATTGCCTGTCACAAATCTCTGCTACATAAAGGGAATGGGCAAGCCCTGAAAAATCTTATGTCTTGAATTATATTTCTGTCTGTCGTCTTGACCTAAATCTTAGAAGTTAATTTGCCTCAGCAGTATGCTGATCCTTATTCCTGTTTGGGGCAGAGAAATTTGGTCAGTATACAAAATTTCACTTGAATTTTGAATTAAGGACAGTGGTTAAAATGGCCAAGAATCCTGTGGTATTGACCTGTTTCAATATCTCCTCCAAGTAAAAGATAAGCTACTGTATAATAAACCCTTACCACTAGCAGGCAGCATGGACGTGGTGCACACCTCATTCGCTCTGCTAACCTAATTTTTTTCCAGTACAGCATGGCCACCAACGTTGAGGTGAGCCCACAACAACCAATGACCGACCTCAAATCCTACTGTGCCCAAAGAGGCAGATGAGAACTTTAAAAGGAGCCACTGACAAACCCAAAGCATCACAAACCCTTGGAATTATTTCAAAGTTCAGGTGTTTCTACATGGCAAAGGGCAAAGGACTGTGGAATGGTAAGGAGAAGACACAACCTTACAGAATTAGCTGGTCACCCCTTAACATCCCGAGGAAACCACACTGAGGTATCATGCCTATCCTCCATGTGCTAATTGTGTATAGGGTGCAATTTGCTGCTTTCCTTCTATTTTACAAAACGTGCAATGGTAGTAAATTTTTTTTGTGTAGGCTTTAAGTTACAGGAAGTCATTGGGAGACTGTGGACGAAGTAGGAGGGGAAAAGGTCCCCCAGTGTAACCCTGACCCCTTTGACCTCTACTGTTCCTTCTTTAAGAGACAGTGTGCACTTCAATGACATTCAGTTGAGTTCTTCCGTGAGGAAAGCAATCAACTAACATGGTAAAAGCATGGAAGCTATAACCACAGAAAAGGAAAACCGGCTAGATTGAGAGAAAGATGAACTCCAGGCTACTGGAAATACATAGGTTGGATACATTCCTATTTCTTCTCTTAAGGGCTAAACCTGGATTTGGACAGTTCCTGGACCTTCTTCTGGTGACTCATGTTGGGTTTTTTCCTACTCTCAGACATCACGACAGGGCAACTATAACAGTTGCTAAATAGGAAGTATAGCTGCCACGTCAACTGTCCAGGACAAGTGACAATTTTCAAAAATGCATAAAATCTCTTAAACTCTTTGCTTTTAGTGTTTGCAGTTCTCAAGTCGAGATTAGCAACATTTCCGCCATCTAGGGCTCTGCCTTGGGGAGACTGTCTGCTTTTACTGAGGCATTGTTCAAACTGGGCCTCACTCACCCTCCTAGGATCTCAGACTTGCTCACGGCATACAGATTGTCCACGGCAGCGTGTTTGGCCATTACGATCCGGTGATCAAATGGGGCTGCAGGAGCGGGGACATCATCTGTAAGGGGAGAAGGAAAGGGCTGTCCGTCAAGGAGGCTGGCCTTTCAGCAGCGAGCAGCACGTCTCCTAGTGAAAATCGGCCCGTGTAAAACTAAAACGCAATCAGCCACCTGTCTTATCCCTAATGACCCTGGAATACACATTTCCATTTCACATATGAGTGATCTGTAACTCATGAATATCTTATAAAGTATCTTTGGGAAATAAAGTCATTCACAAACTCTTTGGGGTGATTTTTAGAAAATGCAGGACGGTAAACAAATCTGCAGTCCCAGGACAGACAAACACTTCTGGGACTGGAGCTGAAGCTCAGCAGAAAAGCCCTTTCTTAGCAAGGACGAGATCCTTGGTTTGATCTCCAGCGTGACTTTTTTTTTTTTTTAATGCTTTCAAGCCTGAAACCATTTTTCATTTGATCATGAGAAATTAATGGATTCATCTTTTTGGAAAATGCTCCTGTATAATTCATATTTTAATTAAAGCAGAGAGGGAGAAACGGAGAAAGATGAATTATTTCCTTGTGTCATTGAACTATTTGATATTGTACGTTACTTTTTAAAATGTTTTGGGCTTTATTTCACAGGCATTTAAAGCACAGAGATGAATTTTTCCTGGATGAATGGAAATAAAACCCCCAATGAAACCACATAAGCTATATGCTACAGCTATCCTGCTTCTCCCACTTTCCATCTTCCATCTGATGTATTTAAGTGATCGTCCACATCAGCATGAAGACTAGCACGCATAGCTATTTAGTAATATTTCTGATGGTCTTCCTATTCCCATGACTGTTGCTGTCCATGACTTTGCTCTTCTCCATTTCCTTATTAAAAACAGCTACTGCACACATACAGCAAGGGTACAAGGGGGGGGGGGGCAATTACATTCTTTATTCTGTATATTTATTCATTTATTGGTTTTTTGAGACAGTGTAACTCTGACTATCCTGGAACTTACTCTGTAGACGAGTCTGGCTCAAACTCAAATCTGACTGCCTCTGCCTCTTGAGTGCTGGGATTAAAGATGTGAACCACCACTACCCTGTTCCTAAACAGCTGTATTCTTTAAACTTGGTATTTATCCAATATATATTTCCTAATCACTTGGCTTGTTCTAGGTATACTATCAAATAGTAATGTTAATTTTGTTTGATTAATTTAACATTTTTATATTCAGATAGCACAACTCTCTTGGAATCTAATTTGATGTAAACATTCACTTCTCATGCCATGAATATACTCTGAAATAAAATCAGGAGAGAATTCCTCAGGAGTCATTCACTGCTTCAGATTCTGTTCAGGCTGGGAAGACAGCTCTATGGGTAAATGGGCTTTGTGTACATGTCTCAAAGCCTAAAGACATGTGTTAGGATCCCGAAGTGGCATGTAAAAAGCCTGCCATTGTGCCTGTAACCCTAAGTTGATGGTCATCAGCCTAGTTCCAGTCTCAAAGGAATATGGTGGACACTTGGTGTCCTCCTCGGCCTCCGTAAATGTACAGGTGCACACCCTGAACACACATGTTTATAGTCATCACATATATATAAATATGCATTCACACACACCATAGATAGATAGATAGATAGATAGATAGATAGATAGATAGATAGATAGATAGATAGATACGGACAGAGAGACAGCAGACAGGACGGTTTCTTTTGCCTGCACAAAGAGTGTTCAAGTTAACCACACTAATACATAATCACAGAGCATATGTTTCTTTAGAACTGTTACGATAAAGGAAATTCAGTTGGAATGCTTGCTGTGGACAGTTAGGAAACTTTAAAAGTCCAGAACAAAAAGCATTTCCTACCTAGTGGGACCGCTGGGGCTTGCTCTCTTGGATGGATGCTCATTCCCTCCTGGGGTCTGTCATCCGGGCTCCAGGTTTGTCTGGCTTCCTCTGTCCTGACCGTGGGCTCTTCCCCCACTCTCACGTCATCTATTCTGCTCTTTTTGTTGTCCTCACTTAGGAAACACTCCTCTGCCACTCTGCGCTTACTGCTGCCAGCAGACTCTGCCTGTTCAGCATTCTGGAAAGTGGATCCTGATGCCGAATTTCCCAGGATTCCTGGTGTAGAAATGGCCTTTATATTATTGATGCACCTGGAAAATAAAACTCATTTGCAGCTCTCAGTGTTTCAAGGAAAAAAAAATTCCCAGATTGTCAAAACTCTTAGAACCGAAACTTAATTAGGATGGTATTTGGGGAAGACGATGTGCCTTGCCACACAGACAGAGGTGACCAGTTCAGCAGTTGAGGACGTCAAATCTAAATAGATAACCAGACACAGAGAGTCTTCCAGGGACCTCACTGTGAGTCCAAAAGTGGTCATTTATGAAACCTAACAACAGAAGAGAGAAATTATAGAAAAGGAGCGGTGATCTCTCTAAAGATTGACAGCCACAGAAGAACCATTATTGGTGGCTTAATTGGCATGTTCTGGCAGCTGCTGGTCTTCCTGAGCAAATCCCGTCATGATGGACTTCAATAATGACCAGTGTTTAATATATAGAAATTATATTTATTCAAGATTATATTAAAGCTAAGTAACAATTATGCCTTAAACAAATACAATACTTAGAGCAGCTAATTTTAATTGGATACAAAAATTCCTGAATTTGTATAAGACGCTTCTTAATTTTAAGGAAGAAGCTTAATCAATTATCTACTTCCTACAATGCTAGGGAAGAAACAACCAATGGATTGTTTCTATAATGTTTCTATAATGGGTTAGGTCAACTCTTTCAGATTTGGGTTTTTGATTTACAACTCAACATAATCATTATGTAATTCTTAGTCTTAGAAAGGATATAGTTTTTACTGCTAAGCAGCAAAACTTTTTACTTGTTCTTTATAGAGTATTGATTACTGATGATATCAAAATTTGTGATCTTAGTGTTAGTGTAAGACTTAGAAATGATCAAATGGGGCTCAGGGAGGAAGCACAGGCTTAGCATGAAAAAGGCCCTGAGTTCCATTCCCAGTGGAGGGAAGTAAGGAAAGGAGGAAGGGAAGAAGGAATTAAGAGCAGGAGGGTGGGGCAGAGGGAGAGTGGAAATAGGGAGGGAGGGAGAAAGAGTTGAAATAACTAAAAATAATGGTACAAAGAAAGAGGAATAACAGAATAATAGGAAAATATAGCCGTGAAAAATCAATATAAGAGAGGAGCTCATCCTAAACATTGCCTTTAAAACCACCTTCATTTTTCCTTCAAAATGGCATCAAATACCACAGCACAAAGGCCTATGAGAGAGCCCAGCTGTGGATGTGTGATGCTGTGACAGTACCTTTCATTGGATGGGTCACCGTTCATCCTGTCTACGTGCTGATTTCCAGGTGAACGTTTGTCCAGCACCGTTTCACTTGCCGCTGTTGAAACTGCGTTCTCAGCTTCTGTTCCTCTGCTCTCTTCCTTAGAAGGAAGCCCACGTTTCCCTCCTTTGAGAAACGGACATCCATTTTTATCCTCAGTGTCTTGGTTATCCCCCAAGGTGCTGCTTTCTTGTCTCTCCAGACTTTCTATGCATGGACCATCTTTTCCATCTGCATTCTCTCTTAGTTCCAGGGGATCCCTTGGAACAAAATCTGCCTTGTCTTGTCTTTCCTGATGACATATGACATAGCTCCTCTGAACCTCAGAGGAGTTGTTCTTCTCAGCATTTTTCTTGTTGAGTTTGGTAACCTTTTCCTTCTCGGAGGAGACTAGGTTTTTCTGGTCAGGTTTCTCTAAGAAGCCACAGAACACAAAACACGTTAATGAAAAATTCACAGGATCATTTTAATTTTGGTTTCACTTAATGGCATCTCTAGTCTGGCTTCTTTTCAACAGCAGATTTAAGTTTTGAAAAACAAAGCAGAATGAAATACGCCCCGCTGACTGAAAATTGTGTGTCAAGCATTTTTCTTATTTGTCATTGGTAAATCCAAAGCCAATCAGATAAAAAAAAAGTTAATAAAAACAGCATTCCTCCCCATAGGATTTAGGAATGTGTGATTTCCTCCGAGTAAGAGTAACAGCAGAACTCTCTCCATACCCACTGAGTCTCCTAAGGATGTCTGTTACCTGTGAGGGCTGATGACTTTCCACCGGCAACAATTGTCCTTTCATTCAATGTAGGGTTGGACCACACGTTTTCCTCAGCCTGTGGGTGTAAAATCAAGCCATTACGATTACCTACAGTGCACACACTGCTTAGCCTCGGCACTAGTGATGCAGGCTGTGCAGTTCTTCTTGTAAAGTGCATCACTGAATGATAGGATGTCTAGTGTCACACACCTGGCCTCTCCCAGGAGAACCCTGTCTTCCAGCTGTGACGACCACAAAAATGACTCCAGACATTCAAATTTTAATTTCTTAATTAGTTTTACAGTGCATAAGACATTACTACTGACTATATTTACCCTGCTATGCAAAATAAAAATCTCCTGTGAGTTCGAGGCCAGCCTGGTCTACAAGAGCTAGTGCCAGGATAGGCTCCAAAGCTACAGAGAAACCCTGTCTCGAAAAACAAAAAACAAACAAACAAACAAGCAAAATAAAAATCTCAACCCCATTCTTGTCTATCTGGAATGTTACTAATTAAAAATAATATTAATAAAGCAAAATGTCTCCAACAATTACTAAATTTTCTCAGAAGTAAGGGGAAACATTCTTCCAAGTTGACACTACTATATTATACAATTCAAACATGGGGAAATACACTAAAATTGGTAGTCATGTAAAGTGAAAAACAGTCTGAATCAACGAAACTCTATATACAAAGCAGTATCAAAGAAAACGAGCTCCCTATTTTTAAACAAATTCTGTCCTGTGTAGAAGGTAGCCCATCTTCATGATCTCATTAAAGGCTATGGTGATGTGTAAGCTGCCCTTGATCTCCATTTCAGCTGTTCGGATTTGGCTCACCTATCAATTGAACTCAAATTGAGAATACGTGTGAATGAGTTTCCTAAACTACCTGGAGACGAAGGCAATGAGCTTCTTAACAACTGGCTTTTTCTTTCCTTAGAAGATGCCTTTCTCCCAAGCAGTTATCTGTTCTCTCAGTCCTAGCTTCCCCAGACTAGCATAACAAACACTTCCACACACTGCAAGAGGTGAAGATTAACCTAATCCACACAAATTGTGAGTTATACATTGTAAATCGATAGACTCATAGGAAGTCACAGAAAATGAGTCCCTCCACTCTTTGGAGCAGAACACAGTTTGCCCAAGGGGATTTGTAAATATGAAATATCCCATAGTGCAGACTGTAGGGATGAAGATACATTGCAAATACACTTATAATTCAGAATTCTTCCTTTTCCCAGGTGGACGCCTCACCACACAGAGGCACATTTAGTACATCTGTAGAAAGCCAAGGATGGAGATTGAAGCTATAGAAAGCCTCTCACTTTTTCACACAAGTACAGAGATGGTAATTAAAAAAATGCCTTTTAATTTCCTTACGCAAGTCCAGTTGTGTAGTGGTATATTATTCATATTTTGATAAATAAATCTTGCCTGAAGACCAGAGGCAAAGCTAAGCCACTAGAGGTCAGGCAGTAGTGGCACACATCTTTAATCCAAGAATTTGGGAGACAGAGGCAGATGGATCTTTGTGAGTTGGAGGCCACCCTGGGCTACACAAGATCAAAGCAGAAACAAATCCAGGCGGTGGTGGCTCACACCTTTAATCCCAGAACTAGAGGGAATATAAAATGAGAGGCTTATTTTTACTTGATAACTGTTTTGTTATATGTAATTTTGCTATGTTAAAGTTAAAGCCTTCCTTTTTTGTTTAAACAGAAAAACGGGAAGTGATGTGGGAGTGTCATATATCAATCTGTTGATTTCATTGGTTAAGTAATAAAGAAACTGCTTGGCCTCATAGGTTAAAACATAGGTGGGAGGAGTAAACAGAACAGAAAGCTGGGAGGAAGAGGAAGTGAGCTCAGAGACACCATGCTCCCCCTCCCAGGCAGACGCATGCGATGAAGCAAGCCGCCAGGTCAGACATGCTGAATCTTTCCTGGTAAGACTGATGCTACACAGATGATTAGAAATGGGCTAAATTAATATGTGAGAATTAGCCTAGAAGAGGCTAGATAGAAATGGGCCAAGCAGTGTTTAAAAGAGAAAAAAAATGAGAGGCTTAAACTGCTTAGTTTTGCGGTTACCCAGCCTTGATAGAGGTAAGATTTCTCTAGTTGCTTGGCTGCTTTGTTTGGTTTTTGGGTTGAACCCTAACTTCTATCTATGGGTTTTTATTATTCATGCTACACAGTTGCTACTTCTGTCTGTGGGCCCAGAACTTGGCACTTACGCCAGTACCAGTGTCCCTTGTAACACTTCACTGAACTCTTATTGCCAGTTTGTTTCTTCTAGGTGTTGGATTTATGGTGGTCATGGTGCTTAGACTAGAGACATCACATAGTGATAATGATGATGGTGATAACAATGAAGAAGAAGATGATGATAGTGTGGTCATGATGATGGAGATGCGAGAAAGACAATGATGGCTAACATGTACTGAGCACAGCCAAGTCTACTAGAAACTCTTCAGTGCACTTTGTGCATGGTCAACTCCCTTGTAAAGAGAGGGGCTGACTACCAACCTCATTTTTATAATTAAGTTGGGATTCTAATTCATTTCTCTATTTGGTTTGCTCTCTAAGCAGCAGCATAATCTGTACTGTTTTCCTGGTGTAGAAAAGGATTTTAGCCAACCTGGAGAGTAACTCTGACTGGGATCTACTGCAGAGTAGGCACCATAAAATAAAAAGAGCAAGAGCAGGGAGCATACAATAAAAACATTAACACCGCAAGGGAGATATGGGTCCGTTAGCTAAAAGACTGGAATTAACATTGAAGAGGGGAGAAGGAGATCATTTCATTTTAATTCTGAGAAGTCTATATCAAGCTAGTCAAATAAGACAGTTGAGCAAATTGTGTTGATGGCATTTTATATGTCTCTTGGTAATTTCTCTTCTGAAATGAGAACGTCTGGTGTGTTGGTAGGCACCAGGCTTTGGGATTTGTCCTGTGTGGCATAGACACTACAGTAGACTGAAAGTGACCCGAGAATGATGAAGCCTGATGTGTGTTCATTTATTTCAGCCCATCAAAATATGTAAAGGTTTAGCTATAAAACTCTGTGGAACCAGTCAGGCCACGAGTATCTGGTGGCAAGTGTGAGCGTGAGATGCCCACACTCTTCAGGCTGAGTCTGGCCTGGCCTAGCACAGAAACTGTCAGTGCTAAAGATACAGGAGCCAGTCACTACGCAGGGCTGCTCTTCCTTCCTGAAATTATGCCACTCATGTTTCACCGCTTAAATAATGCAAGGCCTCCATTCCTCACCACAGGCTACTTATAGTTTCTTTTCCCTGTGTAATACTGACATCTAGAGGAGCTGAAGTGTCTCTGATAAACAGAAGTAGTGTTTCTCCTTTCCTCTCCCTGCCTAGCAACCTTATGGGCCTTTATTCAGAAGCCTTTTCACTTTGTCTTTTAGGTCCTCTGGAGGAGTTCCTAAAACAGGACACTGGTCTATGGATGCATTTTACCTGTCGTCCAAAAATGACATTTGTTTCCTGTGAATACAGAAGTCAGGTTCAAAGCTGCTAAAGAAGGAATTCTTAAAACCATTCCCATCATCCTGCAAAGGGATGAATCAGGATTTTATACTCCTCTGCCGCATTCACAGTTCTGACTGAGATGAACAAAAGAATTCATTTCATTCAGAACTGTCTATTCATTCATTTAAAAATATGCATGTATTTGCCACTGCCTACCCGTTCCTTTTATAACAATTCTTTATAAATTTGTATTTTATGTATTTAAAAATATATATTAACAAAATTGAGCAAGCATAATTTATCTGTAACTATAATAAATGTCATTTCTAAAAATAAATATGCATACACATCATCAATGTATATAATTGATAGTATTTTAGAGTGAGCTAACCTTTTGCTGTTAACCATGTAAAGTCAAATAGTTCTCAGAGACCTAGTTTTCTAGGCCTGCTGGTTAGAGTTTTTCAGCTGACTCAAACTAATCACCTGGAAGAAGGAACCTCTACTGAGGAACTGCCTCCCACAAATGCGCTGAGGGCATTTTCTTGATTAATGATTGAGGTGGGAGTGTCCAGCCTATTGTGGGCAATACCACCCCTAGGCAGACGGTCCTGGGTTGTGTAAGAAAGGAGGCAGAGCGAGCCATTGAGAGCAAGACATTATGCAGTGTTTTTCCACAGTTCCTGCCCTGGCTTCCCTTGAGGAGCCAGTGCAATCAGGAAGAGTAAGGCAAAAACAAACAAACAAACAAACAAAAACCCTTTCTTCCCCAACTCACATTTTGGTTGTGTTGTTTGCTACAGTAACAGAAAGCAAGTTAGGACACTAGGCAACACTATTTCAGTACTGTTTTGATTTTTCTTAATTTTCAGTTTTGGAGGGAAAAACCATTCTAATTAGCTGGTTCAAGGACAAGTACATATCGAGAACTCTCGGCTCATTTCTTACCAAGTGTGTTTCTCTTTCTACAGTCTACTCTCTACATGAGGTCAAGATTCATTGCTTGGATGCCTGTTTTCATTGCTCATCATATACTTCATACTCTTGTCTCCTCTAGAGTTTGACTTGCCAAAGGATCCAACCACGCATATTGGTGAGCACCCACCGCTGGGGCATGAGTTCCTTTCTGTCCTGTATTTCAAACCCACTTCAGGGCCACATCCCAACTCTCCTGGAAGCAGTGAGATGACAGAATGGGAAATTAATCCATAAGTACAATTTTGCCTTCTCCCTCCTTCGTACCCATTCAATAAAAACTATCCTTCAAAAATCAATTAAGAAATGGATTTAACCTTAACAGTGACAGTAAAAGTGACACCTCCCTTGACTTCAACAATACTGTAGCCAGTGTTTGTGTCATTGGCCACCGACTGACACTTCTGTCCTCCAACTGGTATGTGGAGCCTTCCCTCTATTTTTGGTTCTCTAGCTCGAGAACAGAAGAATTTAGGGCTCAATAAAAAAAAAAAAAACCCACTCAGGAAAGCAATGTGCACTTAAGGGAGGAAGTGCCAGAAGAAATGATTCTGTGATTCTGCCATTGTGGGAGTGTTCTGCCATTCGGCTTCATTGCAGGGAAGCA